AGTCACTTACAAAGCATAAATGGGCATTTCTAACTAGGACAGCATGATTTTGGAAAAATACTGACATTGCAATATTTAGTTTTTTCACGATATGTATCGCAATAATAATGTGCATATAATTCCACAACCATTCGGAAAGAATTCATAAATTTACACTGATTTGGAGGATTTTGGTAGAGGAGTGATGCTGCATAAAATGCACAAAATTATAAAATAAATAAATAAATAAATAAATATATGCTTTACACTTTTCAGTGAAAAACAAGATTGAGAATTTTAATAATCAAATGTTAAATAACACTAGAGTCTTCATTGTATAAAAACATTGTATAATTCAAATGACTTCTCACAGTGCCATATCGATGCTGATACGATATATTGTGCTGCTCTATTTCTAACAAAATAATTTAAGATCATTGTTATGTACAACAAATACACTACAATAAGAACACTGCTGGGTTTCTCAAATTCAATTTGTGTTGAGACAACATAAAATAATTAAGTTAACTTAGTTTTATCCAATTTAAGTGGATTGAACATGAAAATTGTGATGTTTCAGCTACTTTTAAAATAGTTCTGAAGTAGTTTAAACTAACAGCACACTTAATTTTTGGAGCTTATGTTAGGTGAAAATATAACATTTAATAAAGCACTACGATTTGTGTATTATTTTTCTTATTCTAAAGTATTTAAGCAACCACACTCTACACAATGTTTAATACAAGGTTTTGTAAAAATGGAGCTCTACACACAGTTGAAGTCAGAATTATTAACCCCCTGTTTATTTTTTCCCCAAATTTCTGTTGAACGGAGGGAAGATTTTCAACACATTTCTAAACATAATAGTTTTAATAACTCATTTCTAATACCGGTAAGTAATTTATTTTATCTTTGCCATGATGACAGCACATAATAATTGACTAGATATTTTTCCAAGATACTAGTATTTACCTTAAAGTGACATTTAAAGGCTTAACTAGGTTAAATAGGTTAATGAGGCAGGTTAGGGTAAATAAGCAAGTTATTGTATATTGATGGTTTGTTCTGTGGACTATTAAGAAATATAGCTTAAAGGGGCTTATAATTTTGAACTTAAAATGGTTTTTAAAAAATTAAAAACTGTTTTTATTCTAGCTGAAATAAAACAAATAAAACTTTATCCTTAGGAAAAATATTAACAGACGTACTGTGAAGAATTCCTTGCTCTATTAAACATCATTTGGGAAATATAAAAAAAAAATCAAAGGGGGGGCTAATAATTTGACTTTTACGGTATATGTATATAGCCTACAGAGAGAGAGAGATGCAGTTTTACTAAACAAAACAGAAATCTTACAAGCTAAAAACAATGAGTTACATTGTAAAAATGCTGGGTTCCTCACAATCAATTTGTTGTGGAACAACATGAAGGAATAAAGTTAACTTGATAGTTTTTACAAATTTAAGTAGATTGAACATAAAACAATTAGAGATGGTTCGATTAGTATATTTGCAGCCGATACAGATTACCGATTCCTCATCATGGTGATCATCTGATACGCATTCTAATGCTTCAAGCTTTATATAACTTTAACATTGCATAAAGCACGTTTTCCCTCCAAGTATGATACTTAAGTGAAGATCTTTCCTTTCCCAAGAGAATAAATGAAGGATGCTGCATATAATCCCTTGAACATGTCTCTTATAACCATTTAGTGTGGATATGTCATTATCAGAAGCAGCTTTGCAAAAAATAATAAATAGACAGGAAAACAATTGGTAAGAAAAGTGACTAACAATGCAATTTGGAAACATTACAAATAACAAAAGAAGAATTCAAAATGTCTCAATGATGAAAAAGTTTGAAGTGAATATTTGATGCATAAGAAATTAAAATGGATCGTCCCCTGCTTGCAAACCTGTAAACGAACACTTGTGATTGGTTCATAAGATCGGCCCGATTAGCGAGTACTGATTGAGTCATACAATGTGATTATGGGCCGGTACTGATGTCCGGTCGATCGATCAGAGCCTCCCAAAAAATAATATTAGGTTGTCTCCCCATAAAAACTCAAAATTGTGTTTCAGCTAATTTTAATCAAGTAGTTTGAACAAACAGCACATGTCTGGCTGCACATGTGTAAATAATTTCAGTTTCTCCTTTGCTTTGAAATTGGTCATAGTGTCGGTGCGATAACTAACTGTTTAGTCTTGGATGCAAGGCTGTCTGCATTATCAGACTGTCTAACAGAGTCAAACGTGACCTGTAGCCCACGATCAGCCCATCAGTTGGTGAGTGTGTGTGTTTGTGTGTGTGTGTCTGGGGGGGTTTATTGTAGGGCCAGTCTGTTCAGGGTCACTCTGAAGTAATGGATGTGCCTTTATCCGCACTCATTTTCCCTGGCACGCCGGCGGATATCAGGGACAGATGCCTTGGCTACAAGCCCAGGGTAAATAAAGGACAGGAGGAGGCCATCAAATCTGCCTCCAGGCACAGTCCATGAAGGATAACCGTGTTGCATACAGGCGGGAAAAACCTTAAAGTTAAAGAGCTTTATCTAGTTAGTTAGACTCAACAGTGCTTGGTTTGGTGTTTGCAGTTTCCGCATTAGAGGTCAGATAATGTTCCTATGAAATTGTCAGCTGTGTCTGGATATAAATATATCATTTTGATTTCCTTGTCAGTCAAGGATTGATGTGTAGTTGCAGGGGAAGATGCTCAGTAACCATTTACTTGAAATTACAATACAGAAATCCAATATTTACGGATCATTTGTGCAAAAGACACCGTCTTTTGTTTTTTGCGTAATATATAGAAGGTGTGGATTATATGAAGTATATTATATGTAGTAAAATATATTTATATTATTAAATTATTATAATAATAAGGTTGTTATTATATTATATATTAAAAAAACTTTCTGCTCTACCCCTTTGTAATGTAATTCATATAGATTTTTTTTATACATTCTTAGTTCTGCTACATATTTTTTTATATAGTTTCTTTGTGTTTATGAATTTTTGCTAATAACATTCAGTTTTTAAAGTCTCAAAACTGACTGGGAAATAGGTTAAATATTTTCCAGAAGTGATTTGAGTCAAATTATTGTTAAGTTGTGCAGAGTTTTTGCATATTACAGTGTTATAATCATCCAGAACACAAAACTGCTTCATTAAAAAATACTGTAGAACATTTAAAAGGTGCGATTTACATACGACTGAATATGATTAATGTTTTTAAAAAAAAAATGTAAATCTAAATGATTTTATGAGAATTAATCTAAACTCAAAAAAATCTAACAAAAAAACTATCAAACATTATAAAAAGTTCTTTGATTTTGACAGTTTAGTTTAAACAGAATCTATGATGGTTAAAAGGCCTAAAAGTGTCAAAATATCAACTTACAATGAATTAATAAAATGTTTGATATGTAATTTTTTATTTCAAATAATTACCTAAATGATAAATTATAAAATAATAAATTATAGCCTTTTATTTTAGCTTTTAAAACAAATTCTTGAGGTGCAGCTGATCACAGAGAGTTGGAACAGATTTTCAAATCCTGGTTTCTTTGCAAATCCTGTACTGTGGAAATGTTTATACAGTACGTGTTAGGCATGTTAATACGTTTCTGTTAATGGATACGGTGGGTAAGGAAAACCACACTCCTATGTCCCATTGCAGTGGGCCTCAAAATCACTGGGATTTGGATCCTATTTTAATGTGAGGAAATATATTTAAAAAAAAAAAAGAGAGAGACTTGTTGCGTTTCTATCACCCAAACATGACAGTGGGCACACTATATACACATGTACGCACAGTTCTGTCCAAACAGCATTCAAAAGTAAATTTTGCATCTTAGGTTACCTAAAAGTATATTTGATTTAAATGATTTACATAATTTATTTTCAAATTAAAAATATTAATTTAAATAATAATAATAAATTATAGTGTTATATTTTAGCTTTTAAAACAAATTCTTGAGGTGCAGCTGATCACAGAGAGTTGGAACAGATCTTTCAATCCTGATTTCTTTGCAAATCCTGTATCGTTTATACGCATTAGACATATTAATATGTTTCTGTTAATCAATATAGTGGGTGCGGAAAACTGCACTCCCACATCACTTTGTGGTGGGCCACAAAATTACTGGGATTTGGATCCTATTAGACGGAGAAAAAAGACAGAGACTTGTGTTTATATCACTCCAGTATGACAGTGGCTGCAGTATACCTAGACACAGTTCTGTCTAAACGGCTCCCAAAAGTAAATTTTGCATCGTAGGTACTCTTTAACACAGTATTTGTATTGTACAAATAGTAAGCATTTGAATGTTTGAAAAAGAAATCTACCAGACTTTAGTAGATTGAAAAGATAATTTTGCATCATACAGTAGGTGCTCTTTAACACAGTATTTGTATTGTACAAATAGAAATGAATAGGATGTGTTCGGAAAGTCTCTAACTAATAGGAATTTTACCAACCAAACTTTAGACAATTTCTGAATGTGTTGGGGATGTAAAGAAGCAGTCCTATGCAAAAGAGGATGATGAGGAAGGAATGCAACAAAGTAAAGGAAGGACATACCGACCCACTTTCACCAAAGAGTATGCAGAGATGAAAGGATGAGCATGATAAAGTTTCTTCCCCTGGCCTCTGATATTGTACAGTCTGATATACGTGTTCTGCAGCCACACTCCAGCTTCATTTGTGACCCAAACCCAGCATTGTTCTTTATTGTCCACATTTCCTGTGTAAAGTCCTGTTGTCCCAAAGATGAACTGTTGTGAAGAGATTTGAGCCCCTGTGAATAGACGGCACAATGTTTTCATCACCTATGGCCAAACTTTCACAATGATCTGAGACCTCAGTGAACTGTGCTGTCCGTTTTGTTAATCATCATAGGGTTGATGATTGTGTTGTTTGTTTGATCTCCTCATTAATGTTGAAACTGGCTGACTCTTTAAGGCTGATTTGTAACGATGCTGATCGCTCATTCTCACTTTGTGTCTCTCCACAGGCAGGAGGTTCAGGAGAACTGTGTTCGCTGGCGAAAGAAGTTTTCCTTTGTGTGTAAAATGAGTGCCAGTCCTGCCACAGGGGTCCTGGATCCCTGCATTTGCCGAGTGTCTGTGCGTAAGGTTAGTCTCACTGTTATGCACATAGATCTTCCTCATTTTTGCTCCATGACGATTTTTTTTTCATATGAAGTGATGAATATTATTATAACATTTTTGACGGTTCATGCTATGAACAACTGGCAATGTGCAATGTGGTCTTTGTCTTAACCATTTTATGCATCCTAGATAAAAATTGTTTTGCATAATTTTTTTTACACTTTTTGCAAAAAAAATAAATAAATAAATAAATAAATATAGTCTTTATCATAATTGAATATTTTTATGCATTTGCAGGTGATACATTTTGATGCATTTGAATAAAGCAGTTTTATTAAACCGCTATATATTTATTAAAATAATGGTTTAGTCACCGAACATCTTTATAAATAGAAAAATAATACATTTTAATTCAAACTAAATAGTGGCCAAAAATTACAAACAAAAATGTCAACTACATTTTATCTTTTTTTTTCCCTTCTCTTATTTTTTCTTTATATTTTTCCCTAACATATACATTTTTGGACTGTTATAGAAAGTTATTTTGTTAGATTAGCTCCAGATTTGGCTTGAGTACTGACAAATCGAATGGATGTGCACAAAAATAATATTGTAAAGCATGCTAAAGAAAATGTGAATTTAAAAGAGAGATTTTGTAAGGGGTGTACTCCTATATGCTGAACACTGTAAATAAATAAATTCACAACGAAAGCCACTAAATTATTCTGTTTATCTATTTTACACCACGTGGGTTTTATGCTGTACTCTTTACTGATACTTTTGGATTCTTAGTAATCAGTTACACTAATGTTCTGGACAAAATGTTTTATTATCTTTGAATACAAAAGATAAGTAACAAAATACACAGTTGAATACAACTTGTAATTTAAGTCCTAAAATCTGGGTCCAGGACAAAGATAAAACAAACCAAATGAAGATTTATACAGAAAAGGTTGTCGAAGCAAATATTAAACTTAAATGAAATAAAGTGTTCTAAACAATTTATGACCTTCTTGAAGTTTAAATCTATGTAAATACAAAATCCCCCTCTGGCATATTTACACTACCGGTCAATATTTTGGGGTCAGTGGGATTTTTAAATGTTTTAAAATAAGCTTCTCCTGCTCACCAAGACTGCGTTTATTTCATTAAAAATTGTAAAATTGTGAAATGTTATTGCACTAAAAAATAAATGTTCAAAGTATTTATAAATTAATTTTATAATTTATACCAGTGATTTTTTTTTACATTTAATAAATGCCACCACAGAATAATCTTATTTAAATTATTAAATAAAATTAATAATAAAAAAAACTAGTGTAGTGTAAGTGCCTTTAGTTGACACTTTCCAGATTACTCTCCTCATGCTAATTTTGCTATGTAATTGAGGCAAATTCTGTGCATTCCCAGCAAAATCTTTGTGCATTACGAATCGACACACGTAAATACCTAAATTTGCATTTGGTGTGAACCAGCATTGCCCTTAATAACAGGCTAATCATGGAGTTAATCAGTGAGTTAAGGTTTATATATACTCCATACAGGCTGTCTGCTATCTCATTTTTTCTTTGCTCTCGTTACCCTTTACTCCCTTTGCCTTAGTGTCACCACGCCAATGGCAAACATATTGCATAACAACTAATCTCTTTGTTTTTTGCCTTCCAGGAACTGAAAGGTGGAAAGGCTTTTTCAAAGGTAAGATCTTTCCACCCATATCATTACTTTCATGACATGTCTTTTACTTCTTTCTCTCCATATGATTGTTTCTTTATCATGAACCGTCTCTGAGGAATCATCACAGATTTCTCTCTCACGCTCTCTTACAGAAGGCAGTTTTTATCTCTGAGTCTTATATGTTTATAAACACAAAGCACTTGTGAGTTTCATTTATACACACATATTTGCATACTGAAGTCAGAAACCTTCAGGGCATTGCATGTACAGGAAGTACAGCAAAAGCAAATATGAAGAATGTAATGCAGTGGGAGGTTAGTATTAGAAATTCAGAGTTCTCGTTTGTGCCTGTAAAATATGTTTTTTTTTTTTTTTTTTTTTTTTTCCTTGAGAATCCAGAAAGCACACTGCCATCAGACATTGGCTGTAACAATCTTTAATAATTGTACAAAAATTCAGTCAATCAGTGATGACAATGAAAAGCTGAACAAGTGTTTTTAGTAATTACAGTTCAGCCTGTCACGATTATGTCAACAAAGGAAACAAGACATTCTCTAAATGGTCAAAGGCCCTTAGTTTCATCACACTGCTGATGCATGCATATATACTGTACGTATACACGCATGCACAAAGACGCACACATATTTAGTTTGTTAATTGTGCAAATTTGACATATACCTACATTATTTTTATGTCGAACAAATAATATTAGAATATGATGATGATAATATTAATAATAATACATTTTATTTGTAATGCGCTTTTCTTAAACCAAAAGCAGTACAATAGAAGATATTAAACACATAAAATTAAAAATAAAGTACAGGATACATAAAGCAACTTTAATCAACTTTTTAAAGTGATTCATAGTTGGTGTGTTTTGGATATTGATAGGAAGACCGTTTCATAATTTAGAGAAAAAAGCTCTTTCTCTCATAGTCTTTAGTTTACATTCCTGAACACAACCCTACTACTTAATCTACCCCTTACTGCAAACCTGTTTGCATCTTAAAACTTTCAGATAAATATCATTTGTTTATCATTTGTTGCATTTTCTTTTCGGCTTAGTCCCTTTATTAATCTGGGGTCACCACTGCGGAATGAACTTATCCAGCCTGTTTTATACAGCGGATGCCCATCCATCACTGGGAAACATACATATACATTCATTAACAGACATATATTACGGGCAATTTAGCTTACCCAATTCACCTGTACAGCATGTTTTTGGACTAAGGGGGAAACCGGAGCACCCAAAGAAAACTCGCGTGAACACAGTGAGAACATGCAAACTCCACACAGAAATGCCAACTGACCCAGCCAACCAGGGACCTTCTTGCTGTGAGGCGATTGTGCTAGCCACTGCGCCACCATGATGCCCATTTATTTATTTATCATTGTTATTATTATTATTATTATTATTATCATTTTAATCATTTTTCCCCTCATAGAAATCAAAGGCTGGTCCAGACCGTTTTTATAGGTCTTTACTTTGGTCCCCACAATGTAGCATAAACACACACACACACACACACACACACACACACACACACACACACACACACACACACACACACACACACACACACACACAAATTTTAATGTAAATAGTAATTTGAACAGCAATGTACTTTATCTAGTAATGTTGGCAATCTTTTTGTTTGTTTTTTCTTGAAAGAAATTAATATTTGAATTCAACAAGGATGAATTAAATGTTTACAGTGGCGGTGAACACTTTTATGAAATATCTGGTCATTTTGATATTCTTTAACTTTTCCTTTCGCTCTAAATTTTTTTCCAGGCAACTTTTTCAATGTAAATAATGTCAAGCAATATTAAAGTGATATTCAAATACCTAATAATAAGGGGCTAATAACTTTGACCTTAAAAAAAAATAAAGTCTTCTTTCATTCTAGCCAAAATAAAACAAATAAAACTTTCTCCAGAAGAAAAAAAAGTATAGGAAATACTGTGAAAAATTCCTTGCTCTGTTAAACAGATTTTGGGAAATATTTGACGAAGAGACAAAAAAAAATAAATTACAGGAGGGCTGATAATTTTGATTTTGATTGTACATGGAGTGTTTTGCATTATATTGTGAAGATGTGTCTTGTAGCACGTGCAATAGTCACCAGTGTTGCTAGTTGTTTAAGCATGTGATAATGCTGCTTTCAGTCATCGTTGCTAAATTACTGCAGAGGAACATGTTTGTAATAAGTTACAGGAGGATGTTGTTTTTGGGAGTGTGTATCCGTGTCCTTTTCTGCTCATTTACTGATCTCTTACGTCCTGAACAAGAGTGGCGTGTCAAAGCAGAGCACTGACACAGCAGAAAAAGCTAATTTGTGAGGTCAAATCTATGGACTGTAACCGGGAACGATGGAGAAACACAGGAAGGAGGGGTGGATTTGACCTTTAAGATGAAATAGAGATATTTACTGTAGCAGATAATTGAACGCTATGGAACATTGACACATTTATTAATCAATGTGAATCCTGGAATCACTTGGGTATTGGCAGTCTCAGAGCCTGGAATTGTGGAAGTCTGGAGCAAACCACATAAAAGTTTTAAGGACAGGAATGGTTTTCAGAAAGGGGATGTGTGCCAGTCATGGGGGAAGTGGTTTGTGCTAAAGGCAGCAGTGGAACATCCAATATAGATAAAGCAGGGTACAAACACAGACAGACACACATACTAAAATCTGAGATGAAGACAAAATATGTACTGTCTCAATCTTTTCTGATTATTAATGTCCCTTTTTTGACCACTTTTCATTTTTTTAAACCTTTTTAGCACAAAAAGAGGGTAAAATAAAATAGGGAATAAATAAAAAGGAATGGAATTAAAAGGTCACCAGAGACATCATATACAGCTCGTGCATCATTCATATGCAGTTTTGGCTTTTTATGACAGTTATATATTTTTGTTTGGACATACAGTCCCATTGGGCTCCTCTCCATCAGAAATAAAAACTGGATAGAGGCATAGTAAATAAAATACCTTTAATAAATACCTTTTAAGAAACATGACGCACTCCATAATCATGTAATGTCCCACTTTTTAAGCACATGTACAGGATGACGATTTAAGTGTATATAGAAAGTTTTTTGCTGTATCATTTATATTATGACATATATATCTGCAAGCATGCATGAATGAGACACTATTTTGGGCTGATGGACATAACTGAAGCACTCACACAGAAAGTATTGCTCTCAGACTGCTTGTAATCCCAAATTCATTTCTTTTTCTTTTTGTGGTTTATTGCACTTGAATGGCCAGATGTGACACTGTCAGAATTGTCTTAAGTGAATAGCAGAACTTTGTGGTTTATTAGGTCTTAATATATTAATAAAACAAAGAACAAAAGACAGAGAAAACAGCTTACAGCTTTTGTTTTGACTTTAAAAATCAATACGTTTTCATGGAGTGTTCATGATACACTTTCTTCCACTTACTGCTGAACGTGTGATAAATTATATTCGGTGTGTGTGTGTGCCTGCATTTGTCCTTTTATCCCTTGCTGTAATATCACACATCAATGATTTTTAAAGGCCAGCTGGTCACGTGCTGCAGTGCTGACTGTATAGGGTATTCAACCAATAAAGCAAATGAAAAGATTTATATCAGATACTCTTCTATCATTGGCCAAGGTTAATAGAATTGTTTGACCGAGAACATTGTTGTTGTTGAGAAAGAAAAGCGAGAGAGGGAGATTTCAGAGAAATGTAGGAAGAATGCTTGCCAGTAGTATTGGAGAAACCTTTATTAAGTGATAAACAGAGGGATTTCGTGCATGACTGACTGCCAGCTTCACATGCCTGTTGTTATGTAAGAGCACTCCTAAGAGTTAACCAGTTCCTTTCCTTCTTCAGCAAGCTAGCTTGTGTGCTTTTTACAGCGTGACAACATGCACTTTTTGTCTTTTGCCTGAATTCAGTGTTCCCCTGAATAAATGAACCTAGACGTTGCAAAGCAGGATAAATAGGATAAACACTGAACATGTTTGTTGTGACTTGTTCATGATGTCATGCTCGTAGAGCTAATGATATACAGTGGGGGAAATGAGTATTGAACACGTCATGTTTTTTCCTGGGAATAATATTTCTAAAGGAGCTGTTGACATGGACTTGCGATACCAAACAATACCACCATACAAATTAAAACAAAACAAAAGCTGAAAAATTGGTGGTGTGTAATAACAATGGAATGACTCTGGGAGAAAGTACTAAACTGAAAAGTTTTAATTCTTTATATTTTTGGTGATGGCAGCTTAAAGACGCCTCTCATATGTAGAATGAAATCACATGCATTGCTTCAACAGAGTGTGTAAATCTTGATAGTTCTGTGAGTCTCGTCTATCAAAGCTGATCTTCATTTAGTATTCTCTGTTGGATTCAAGTCAGGTGATTGGCTGGGCCATTCAGCTTGATTTTCTTTCTCTGAAACCAGAGTTGAGGGTGTCCTTTTCTGTGTTTTGGATCATTGTCTTGGTGAAACGTGCACCCTGGTTTTCAACATCTGTTGAAATTTTCAACAGTCAATAGCACCTTTAGAAATATGTTCAATACTTATTTCCTCCACAATAACTTTTAGGGATGTAACGATTCATTCAATTTACAACATTGATCTCGCAATATGATTATTATCTTATTTGTATTTTTTACAATTTTGATAAAAAATTGAGGTTTTGAAGTTAACAATTGGCCTTTTATAATTTTTTGTAGTCTTTGTAATAAAAATATATTTTGTCAAATAATAAACACAAACTTAAACTTTAATTTAAACAAACGTCAAGACTTTTCTTAGTCCCCCCCCATTTTTTTTAAGCATATCTACATTTTCTAGCAAGCTGCAATCTCTGCACATTTGCAGTGTACCCTGCTGATGAAAAAAAAATTGAGCAAGTGAGCTGAAAGAGAGTGCAAAATAACTGAAAACAGTTTTTTTCCCATTGCTGTCCACTTTTTAATTTGAATCGATTTCAACTGGCTAACTGTCAATGGTTACATACTAATAACTATAAAAACTGGAGAACAAGACCTGTGTGGTAGAGTTTAGAGCTTGATTTGGAGTGTTTGGAGCTTATTTCTGAACTGCTGATCAAATCGATGTTTTATTCCTTTTTCTTCATCTCCAGCTGGGCTTTGCTGACCTCAACTTGGCGGAGTTTGCTGGTTCAGGCTCCACTGTTCGCTGCTGTATACTGGAGGGCTACGACACAAAGAACACTCGACAAGACAACTCCATACTCAAGGTGAGCACGCCTTTTGTTTGTGGAAAAAGACTTGTGCGTGTGTAGGTGTGATCTCTGGCTTTTCCTTCCGGACTGACTCTACACGTCTGTTCTGACCTGCCTGTAAGGCTCATACACAAAATAAAAACATTGGCCTTTTCATCCTGAAAGGTCCATGACCTTAGCACCTTTGGAGATTATTGTTTAAAAGCAGAACTGTTCTCACTATAAACACAGTCCTCAGTGTGGGCGACGTGTGACCGGTCAAACCCTCTCACAAGTCTTTGTGATGACTGACTGACTGACTCACCGTCTTTTAGACATTTCAGGAGGAAAATGTGAAAGAACAGACGTTTAATCAGAGATATTTTGGTTGTTTTGACTCATCTTGATCTAGATTCATGTGTAGCTTTCACAAGTATGTTTTAGGAGTCAACTGTCATTTAAGGTGTATATCACCTCTTTTAGATTTGAAAATGTCATCTTTCCTCCCAGGTTACCATTGGCATGACTTTGCTCTCTGGAGATCCCTGCTTCAAAACGTGAGTGTGCTGTATAATGTAAATGACTTTGTTTTATTGAATACTCTTTATTTATTAGTTTTTAAACCACTAGGGGCCCTTGGCAAACTTGCTGGGAGGTCTCCAAATCACTAAATATATGACTTAAGACAAATCGACTAAAATCATGTTCAATCACTCTATCAACAACTTCTTTTTAAACTGTTCTCGCAGTACTGGAAGATTTCCTGAACATGTGCATTTTAAACAATGTCCATTTGACACAAGAAGTCATGTTAAAAAGTCAAGAAGAAGTCAAACCACTTTTCTGAATGCTCAGTTTAAATCAGTTGTTAATGGAAGGGATACATCTGCAGCTGGAAATGAATGAGAATCGTTTATTTTATATATTAAAATACACAATAATTGTATTTTATTAATGTCTACCCCTACCCTAACATTCACAGTAATGTAAAAAAAGTAATTCAACCAAGTTTTATTCATATTATTAATTAAATTGCATTTTATTAATGCCTATTCCTATCCTAACCCTAAACCTAACCCTCACAGTAACATAAAAATGGCCATTGTTATACAGTGTGACGAAAATGTTGCTATATTGATGTGCAGCTTTATTTCTTCTGTACTTTACCATATAAAAATCTCCTCTTGTTGATTTTTCTGAAAAATTATAAAGCAAATGTAAAATGTGGACCAATAGAGAGGAAGCATGAGCTCAGTGCCCTCTGATGATGTCTAAAACTTTCTGTGTTTTCGTCTTCAGGCCTGTGAGCACAGCTAAGACCATTGCCATGGCTGGCCAGGACCCCTCTCTGCAGCTGGACCGCAAGGGAGAGGGCACCGCTGACCACCCTGTGCCAACCCTCAGCCGCAACACTCGCAGATCAATCAAAAGCAGGACCCCGCTGAACAACTCTGGTATGACCAACACGCATACTGCAGACCACCCGAAACTGAAAAACTGGAGAACAAGTAGATAAACTCTTTACATCTGTTATTGCAATAAAAGTGTCATATTTTTGTAAGGACTATCTTGAAGTTGTTGTGTTGTTTAGTGCTAACCTGAGCTGTTTGATGTTTAGGAGGCCTTCAGGAGGGATTGGAGGAGAACCTGTCCAGTCCTGATGAAGTGTTTCACAATGGACACTCACGAAACTCCAGCTTTGCCAGCCAACAGAGCAAAATCTCAGGTGGGATTCAGGGCACGAACAAAAGAATATCAGGTACAGATTATAGCCAATTACAGAATAAAACAAAATAAACTACACTTCTGTCTTTTACATTTAATCTTTTAGACTCGCAAATTAACAGTCTATTGTGATTTATAATACAAGAGCAGTGATAAAAACAAAAACATAATTAATTTTCACTTAATCAAATTGTATGCTTTTTTTTCATTTTCATACGCTGCAGTTCAAAAGTTTGTACTATTTATAAAAGAGAGTCTCCTACCAAAGCACATTTGCCTAAATAGTCTAAACTATAATATTGTTAAATTATTACATTTAAGTTAAGTTGCTTATATAAAGTAACTTTTGTATTTAAATTATTGTATGCAATTAGTCGTTGTTTTCTGTGTTATTTTAGCAGAATTCTCAGCAGCTTTCACTGTCAAATGATCTTTCAGAAATCATTTTGAAGATGATTATTTTGGTGCTCAAGAAAAATGAATTATTTACATTTTAATATTGTTAGGATAATCTAATCTGATTCATATTGTCACTTCATATCATCAGCAAAAAGTATTTCAAATATGCAACATTACACATGTTCGAACTGTCACAATTGATTAATTATATTGATTTTTGCTAAATTAAAAGTATTTATTTTTTCAAGAAACACTTTTGAACTGTAGTGTATTAATTAGTTTTAACCACACATTCTACTTGGGGGAAAATCACTCTTTTCCTTTCTTCCTCTTCTTTTGTTGTTGTTGTTGTTGTTGTTTATTTGCATCAATACAAATGTTCCTGTTTGTTTAGTTTGTCACAGATTTTGTACTTGTCCTCCACATAGGCTGCAGCGCAGAGCACTCACACTCCTCCAGCCTGACAGATCTGTCCCAGCACCGGCGCAACACCTCCACCAGCAGCAGCAACACATCAGGAGGCACGTCTACAACTGTGGAGAGCCCAGCAGACCAAGAGAAAGAGCTGCTGAAACCAGAAAGACCCCCTCGGCCCCCACGACCCACTCTGCCCCTAAACAGACTCTCAAGGTGAGGAGTCAATGACACATTTGCTTTACTTTATTAAGACACTAACACTTGCTTTATGCTCTGCTCTGAATTTGTTGACAGACCAAACTGACTACCACTTAAAGTTTAGATTCTCTGCCTGAGCCAGAGCAACAGGCTGATATTTCCTGCCACTATCGTCGGGTCGGGCTGTGGGTCTACAAAATTATACAATTTGCAATGTGTGTCATGCGCAGCAATGCTCTTACTCCGGCAACAGCATCTCCTCCACTGGCACACATTCACACCGCACGCACAAGCCGATGTGAAGCAGCGCGTGCGTATGTAGAGCAGAAATGGTGCTTAAAAATCAATGGATCTTATCGATGCATTTATTGGGTTAAAATTGCTACTTTTCACTGTCATTCAATGTGCTTTGGTTATTATCAAAGCACCGTCACTTTAATTAAGCATGAGTAGCAGCAAAAATAGACCCAGTGCTGAAATGATCGCAGAAATGCATCAGCTTTTCCCAAGCTCCGCACCGCTTCTGTGTGGTATGAAAGCTGTAAACATTGACGCCAAAAAAAAACACATGCTACTCATGCTCTGCTCACACGTGCAGTGTGAAATTGGTAATGGCAAAAAAACAGGGACTTCCAAGATGCAGAGACACATGAAGCAGGCTTGCCATTGTAAAAAGGATGACAGCTGGCCTTCATTTTCCTCTTTTGTTACGATCTTTTCTAAATTACAAACAATGCTGTTTACATGCTTCGCTCTTGTTGCATTATTCATTAAGATAAATCCAAACTAATTTCTGTAGTTCAAATAATTGAATTCGAATTGTAGTTGAGAACGAATCTTATAACAGTCCACGTATTAAAAATAGTTAAAATAGGCTCATACAGTAATTACAGTTAATGTATCGGACCGGGTCAGGCTCGGATGCAAGGTGCAGAGGCTTCGGTAGGGTTGGTTACATTTTTTGGGCCTGATCTAGGCTCTACTACCAATTTCTTAAAGGAATAGATCATTCGAAAGTAGCATTACATTATAAATTACCCTTAAGCAAGGAGTGTCCACACTCTGTTCTAGAGGGCCAGTGTCCTGCAATGTTTAGTTCCAACCCCAATCAGACAAACCTGGACTAGCTAATCAAGCTTTTACTAGGCTTTCTAGAAACATCCTTGCAGGTGTGTTGAGGCCAAGTTAGAGCTAAAATCTGCAGGACACTGGCCCTCCAGGACCGAGTTTAGACACCCTTGCCTTAAGCTATTCTCTAAAAATCTTATTAGGTCTGGTGCGCCAGTAATTAGCACACTCTGATTCGCTTGTGGAATGAATGCACATTGCATTATTGTTGATGGAAAATCTAAAACATACACAAATATATAAACACTAAGCATAAATATCCACTGCATTGCGCTGTTCATTAGATGAGCAAATGAAAATAAATAAATGAACATAAAACAGCAGAGAGAAAAAGCATATCTTATGCAGCAGATTGATGTGTTTTTGTAACAGAAATATTTCTAATTGTTTTTTGAAAATGGCTGCATCTTGTTGAATGCACACAGTTTGTTTGTCACAGATGATGACGACAAGAACTAGTTGGCTTGGTGTTTCTGTACAACATTATACAGTTTGTTAGTATTGTGCTATTAGTATTGTACAGTAAATTACTCTTACAATGCCATGGATGTGTTTTTAGCAGAGTTTTGATTAGTAATACTATTAGCACTTCATTTAGACAACTTTAAAGATTTTTTTGGAAACCTTAGATTTTCAAATGTTTGTGTTTTGGTCAAATATTAACCTAAAAAAGTATAAACATTGGAAAGCTTATTTTATGTCAGCTTTTAGGGCATATAAATCTTAATAAAAAAAGAGACTTACAACTGGTATGTGGTCAACTTATTTAAAAATGAAAACGCAAGATAATAAAAATACATATTTAAAAATCTCCTATCTCTAAACAGGAGGAAGAAGGACTCTGTAGAAAATCATCCCACATGGGTTGACGACACGCGCATCGATGCAGATGATATTGTGGAGAAGATTGTCCAGAGTCAAAACTTTGCCGATGTCAGCAACAATGAAGGTGTGTTGAGACACTGTTGAGGTGTACTAACACCTCGTAAACTCATTTATTTAAATGTAACATTTTGATTGTGTGTGTGTAAGTCAGAGTATTTCCCACTTGGGAAGCTTTTATATCTCTGAGGCTGACAATTGTGTCACTCTTTTTCTCACAGACAGCAATTTAACACTGTTTATCAGCAGAGATGGGACCACAGCATTGAGTGGCATCCAGCTTGTCAACAGGTAAACTGCTGCTCTTTATATGCTTTTAAAAATCGTTATTAAATATGTAAGAATATGCTATTTAAAGTAGGACACTGATTACATTGGTCCAAAGTAAAACTAGCCAAATTGAAACTGAATATATAGAATATATAGAGAATATATCTCGTATGTTTTGGGCCTGTTCAATATTAAAGGATTTCTGGCAGCTACTATTTAAATTTCTCTCAAACATATTAAAAATCTATATAGAATCTGAGGCCATAATTTCAATATTTGCTATCACACCACAGTCCTTATGTTTTAATAAAAGTAAAATCAATGTGATTGCCTTTGCTATGCTTTTAGCTAGAAGGTTATTATTGCTGAAATGGAAGGAAAAATTTCCTCTAACCTTTAAGCAGTGGCTTATGGAACTTCTACACCAACTGACCATAGAAAAGATATACCATAAGCGGTTGTACTGATATGTTTTTTCTCACTTGGCAACCTGTATTAAATCACATAAAGGAGATGGACGCCTCAGTTATTTTAGAGTAGAACCTATCCTTCTTTTTTTTTTTTTAATAATTATATAAGAGCAAAATTTGTTTTACTTAAAATTATTATTTATTTGTATTTCATTTTAATATTATTCATATATTTTTATAAAACCTTAATGTTTATGTGTGCAACGGGCGAAAAAATTGTAAAGCAATTTGTACTGCACGTTTTATATCTAACATGTTCAATAAAAAAAAAATGCAAAAAACATTAGTAAAAACTATAAAACTGATGAAATTTTTGAGTTTGGTAAGATTATATGTTTTGGAAAGAAATATATTTTTTCCATGTTTGCATGTGTTTGTGCAAATATACTGTAAAATAGTATTATTATAAAATATATAATACTGCAACTTAAAGTGACTGTTTATTTTAAAATTGTAAAAAAAAAAAAAAAGTTTCATCTTAAAGTCCTGTTTTAAGCAGATTTTCACTGTCTGTTCAGGAGAGTATTTGTATTTTTATGGTAATTTTTTTTTTATATTATATGTGAATTGTTCTTCGCTTTTCTTCGGCAGGGTGTCTGCAGGTGTTTTTGAACCGGTGGTGATCGAGAGCCATTAGATCTGCAGTGTTAGTGGTCACTCTCTTGCACAGCCACTGCCTTTTTTTGTTTTTTTTAATGATGGAGAAAGCAAGACAAGGACTGGACTTCACAACTCGCCCCTCTTATAAGAGTCTGACATTTTACTCGTATATTATTACAACCCTTACATACTGATCATGCAGTACAATTACTGACAAAAATGTCTTGGGAATTTTTTCGAAAAAGTTCATTGTCCTTAGAATTATTTTACAGAAGATTCTGAGAGAACAAACTACTTGAAATGCCTTAAGAAGTGAGGCAGGATGGGGAGCTTAAGTCGAACACTGTGAAATATGAGGGAAGTCCAAAGGATTTAGACTGAAAATTAAGTTCATAGTTTTATTGAAATTTTATTTCATGTTTGAAAGTGGGAAGTCTTAATGTCTTAAGTTAGTTTTTTAAGCATTTACACCCCTATTATATACAAACCACTGAGTTTAGTCAGTAAGCAGCCCTTTAACGTGTGAGGAATGTTGATTAAGTATGTATGGCTGGCCATATAAACATTCTGAGGCAAAGAAAAAACAGTTCCTCCATGTGACCATTTTCAGTATCTCATTGCTTGTGCTTGTTCATCAGAGTTGGGCAGTGGTTTGCTTACATATTTCCCAGCTGGACTGGTGAACATGAAATACATTAATATACTGTATCTCCCCCCTTCCTTTTTTCCCCCTCTTTCTCTTTACTCTTTAAGATTTGAAGTTTAATACAAACTTCGTCTTTCCAACTTTCTGTTTTCCTTTTTAAGTTTTGCATTTTGCTGCTGGTTTCAGTTTAGAAAAATCGTGTGACTATGACTTTGTCTCTGGCAGCACTGCAATGCATGCAACACAGCACAACAGGCCATTTGTGGTGTTTGTTTGCTAGGGTTTTGTCACAGTCAGATCAGATGCCAGTGAGATCCTGCATTGTGTGGCTATAATGGGGTCTAATGAAATAATTTTTTAAAACTTTTTTAGATTTCCCCTTTTAAGTTAAACAAAAAATTTATTTAAATAAAAAAAAAAACTTCATAAAGGGATGGAAATTCACTCACTGTGAACTCACCCTCAAGTTGTTCCAAACCTTTATTATTTTCCTTTTTCTGTTGAACACAAAATAAGATATTTTGAAGCATGTTGGAAAAACAAATACTATGGAAAACAGTGGTTACTGGTTTCTAACTTTTTCCAAATAACTTATTTTGTCTTCAACAGAACAAAGAAATATAAACTGGTTTGGGACAAGTGAAGCATGAGTAATAGGTGACACAAGTTTTAGTTTTGGGTGATTTATCCCTTTATGTTTCTTTGTATACATTATTACACTACAGCCCTTCTATTTGGGTACATTTTTAACATTTTTGTAACCTTCTTTTTAAGTTTGGTTGAACCAAACATTTTTTTTTAGAGTCAGAGCAGCTCTTTAGATGAAGCTTATGCCCTCATATCCTGATAGAAGTTTTAGTTTGTGTGTAGTAAACAAAACCTTGGCGTCCACACACACACACACACACACACACACAAGCAGAACATGCAGACGTCATGATTAAACATACTTTCACATTCACATAATACATCAATACACAGTGCTCAGCATATATAAGTACAGCCCTCACAAGTCTATGTTTTGAATTTATATTTAATAGGAAGCTATAGAATATTATATTTGTGCATATACATTAGATTAGTCAGTACTGAAGCCAAATCTGGAGCTAATCTAACAAAATAACTGCCGATAACGGTCCATATACTTGTACACCCAAATTTGTATGTCATAGAAAAATATTAAAAACAAATTTAAAAAAAAAAAAGGAAAAATCAAGAGAAGTTGTAAAGAATTTAAGAAAATAATTTAGTTGACTTTTCTTAAGTTGTAATTTTTTGTGCAATATTTTGCTTGAATTCAACTGTATTATCTTTCAATTTCTAAATATTTTTAGTGACTAAAATATTATTTTATAAATGTATCTGTTTAATAAATCTGTTTTGTTTAAATGCACCATAATACATTGCCTATATTCACTGAGATATGGATACAAATTTTCAAAATGGGCTGTACTCAATTATGCTGAGCACTGTAGCTGATTGATGATGTTTACAGACCTGCTTTTGATTTATTCATCCAGAACATGCAAAATTTTATGAGATTCTGCACTAAATTGTAAATTCCATTTTTTTTTGGAACGGATTCTATTTTCCACAGTGTGAATCCATGTTTTCTGCATTGTGCCCTAAACTAAAACTTAACAGAAAACCCAAGCAAGAGCACAAGCCAGTTGTTAGACTGAATAATTGCTTTGTTTGCCGTGTTAGATCAGAGACAATGACTCACAGTCACACATCTTTCCTTGGCGAGTGTTTCTGATGGCACCCGGTGTGCTCTAGGAAACACTTTACAATAAGCATGACAGTGAACGGAAAGCCTGTGTTTCTCCGTCACGTACTGCTCTGTCATCTATTTAGCTATTCATAATGGTAATTCTTCTCAGTTGATCTGAGAGCGTTTACCAAAACTACAAACTGACACCGAGTTTCACACTCATTCCGCACACCTTATTTTAATTTAGTGTGTGTCAGTTGAGAGAAAAGTGCAATGTGGGCCCATTGTTTTGTGACCGTCCTTTTCAATGAGCCCTTTCAGGGAAGTTAGCCCCAAAAATAGTCATGAAATGAGGTCTAAAGAGAATGAACTAATATAGTAGAGAGGTGAGGGTAAGTTACAATAGCAAACCGTTGATTACATTTTTCATATGAATCTACTTTATCTTATAATTATTCATGTCCACTAACAAATGAGTGTGTGGCATGATCCAGCTGCTTCTTTGTGGGATTGTTATTCCTGCAAATTTAAAATAACACTAACTTTAAAAGGACAAATATACAGTAATACTGCGGCCTGTTAAAGCCTATAATGTTCTTGATGTTTCTACTTACAGCTAGTATAAAGGGATACTCTGAAGACACTGAAAAATGTATCTTATTGTTTTCATTGTTTACTCTTGGTACTTGTCATCTACCTTTAAACACACACACAAAAAGCTATTAAGAACAGGAACTCTGTCCTGTCATCTTGTATTTTCGAACCAGCAGGCTGGTTCAGTGGAAGCTTCTTTTATGGGGTGTTTTTCTTCCTCAACTTTGATGTTGAATAATTCTGTAATGTCTAACATTTGGGATTCTCACTTCTTTCTTTCTTACAAAGAGTTTTTGTAATGTTGATGTCTTTCTTTTTAGTCGATATTGACTGTAATCTGTGATCTTTTATATGCAGAGAGTATATATGTGTATGTGTGTGTGTGTGTGTGTGTGTGTTTGTGTGTATATATATATATATATATATATATATATATATATATATATATATATATATATATATATATATATGTATATGTATATATATATATATGTATGTGTGTTTGTGTATAAACACACACACACACACATACAGGATATACACTTACCGGCCACTTTATTAGGTACACCTGTCCAAATGCTCGTGAACAAATTTCTAATCAGCCAACCACATGGCAGCAACTCAATGCATTTAGGCATGTAGACATGGTCAAGATGATGTGCTGCAGTTCAAACTGAGCATCAGAATGGGGAAGAAAGATGATTTAAGTGACTTTGATTGTGGCATGGTTGTTGGTGCCAGATGGGCTTATCAGAGTATTTCAGAAACTGCTGATCTACTGGGATTTTCATGCACAACCATCTCTAGGGTTTACAGAGAATGGTCCAAAAAAGAGAAAATTATCCAGTGAGCGGTAGTTCTGTGGGCACAAATGCCTTGTTGATTCCAAAGGTTAGAGGAGGCTGACTGGTTTGAGCTTATAGAAAGGCAACAGTAACTCAAATTTACAACCGAGGTATGCAGAAGAGCATCTCTAAATGCACAACATGTCAAACTTTAAGGCAAATGGGCTAAAGTAGCAGAAGACCACATGGGGTGCCTCTCCTGTCAGCTAAGAACAGGAAACTGAGGCTACATTTAACACAGGCTACCAAAATTAGACAAGAGAAGATTGGAAAAACGTTGCCTGGTCTGATGATTCCCAATTTTGCTGCAACATTCCGATGATAGGGTTAGAATTTGGCGTCAACAACATTGAAGCATGGATCCATCCTGCCTTGTATCAACAGTTCAGACTGGTGGTGGTGGTGTAATAATGTGAGGGATATTTTCTTGGCACAATTTTGGCCCATTAGTACCAGTTGAGCTTCATGTCAACGCCACAGCCTATCTTTAGTATTGTTGCTGACCATGTCTATCCCTTAATGACCACATTGCGTCCAATTTCTGATGACTTCCAGCAGGATCATGCGCCATGTCATAAAGCGTGAATCATTTCAGACTGGTTTCTTGAACATGACGATATGTTCACTACTCAAACGGCCTCCACAGTCACCAGTTCTCAATCCAATAGAGCACCTTTGTGATGTGATAAAAACGGGAGATTGGCATCATGGATGTGCAGCAGCTGCATGATGCTATTATGTCAATATTTATCAAAATCTCCAGTACCTTGTTGAATCTATGCCATGAAGGATTAAGGCAGTTCTGAAGGCAAAAGTGGGTACAACCTAGTACTAATAAGGTGTTCCTAATAAAGTGGCCGGTGAGTGTATATGCTTGATTTAAGATGCTGTTGCAGGGAGCTGACTGGGGTTTAATGTTCATGTTGAAAACAAGAGGGTTGATTTTTAGTTACAGTTTGTGTACATTTCAGCAATCTGGAGTTCCTATTTTAAACAAAATAATAATTGAATTGAAAACAATTAAATAAATCATTATTCTAAAATTTTGAAAAATCTTGAATATGATGGCAAACGATTATAAAATGAATATTTTTTAATGTAATGTAAAATGAAGATTATTTAAGGTAAATAACTGAGCTCAGACTCCAGAATACTGAAACCTCTGATGATTTCCACAGCCTGTAATTTTCACTACAGCAGCACTTAAATATTGAGGACTAATGTCACTCACACACACTCTCCAGAATGTTTCATCTCTCCTTTACTGTGGTGGAGGATGAAAGCTATGCACTTACAGAACGCTTTCCGTAATGACATCCATATTAACAACAGCAGCATTCATAATAAATAAATAAATTATATTCTGGAGATAAAAATGTCTAACTTGTATAGACTAAACGAATTTACCACTAAAGTACTATGGAAATGAATTTATTTTTCTGATTGTGACAGATATTTATATTTTAAGATCACACATAAGCGATGTGTTGTTCCAAAGTTTTCTTGGTCTTGTACGTTTGGATCTTCATGCACAGTGAGGTGATGTCTAACGCTGGACCAGAACTGTTTCTACACTCAAATGTGAATGTTTCTTTAATCTAACTGTCAAGTGAGGTTATCTGCATGTATTATTTTGGGGGAAATAAAGATAACGTTGGGTATCTTCATCTTTGTGTGCTTTATTTGACAACATTCAGATAATAGTCCTGCTGGGGAAAAAACTGGACTTGTTTAAACCTTTAAAAAATTTGTTAACATCAGTTCATTTTAATAGCTTGTATTGTATTTGGGGTCATGCTCCGTTATGTAGTGATTTTAACACAAGCCACTGATAGGAGACAATAGATTACCAGTATAGAGACCTGCAGGGACCATTACAGTTTCCATCAATACAATTCCCATTAAAGCCACTGAAACTATTACAATTTATATCGTTTTGTCATTCAATTCAGCTTTATTTGTATAGCGCTTTTACAATGGATGAATGTGCTTGTCATATTCCCCCTTGTCCAACTCAGAATATTCAGAAAACCAGTTTAAAACTACAACTGGTCATTTTTTATTTAGTAAAGTCTATAAAAAGATCTGTAAGTTGTTCCATTTTGGTCTGTAAATAATTAAGTTACATTAGAAGCACAAATATAGGCTGGTACAGTTGTAACTTTTTGTTTACCTTTCTATATCCTTGAGATATTTTAAGCCAGTGTGTTCAAAATGTGATTCAAACTAGCTACAAGTGTCAGCTT